TCTGGATCATCAGAAGGTCTCGTGCAGGAAGAGCTCTCGATCATCAGAAGGTCTTGTGCAGGAAGATCTCTGGATCATCAGAAGGTCTTGTACACTAAGAGCTCTGGATCATCAGAAGGTCTCATGCAGGAAGATCTCTGGATCATCAGAAGGTCTCGTGCACGAAGAGCTCTGGATCATCAGAAGGTCTCGTGCAGGAAGATCTCTGGATCATCAGAAGGTCTTGTGCAGGAAGTTCTCTGGATCATCAGAAGGTCTCGTGCAGGAAGTGCTCTCGATCATCAAAAGGTCTCGTACACTAAGAGCTCTAGATCATCAGAAGGTCATGTGCACGAAGAGCTCTGGACCATCAGAAGGTCTCATGCAGGAAGATTTCTTGATTGTGGGCCAAGTGGAACATGGTGGAGGCAGAATCATGCTGTGGGTTTACCGTTCTTGATCTGGAACTGAAGTTTTAGTCAAAGTGGATGAAATGATGGACATTTCCAATGAGCTGAAACACCAGAAGAAGAATGACTTCACCTGAAGGAAATCAAAGTTTTTCAATGTAAAGATCTAACAGAATAACAAAACAGAATAAATAAATAAATAAAATAAAGTCACAGGATTCAAGTGGGAGCTCGTTTTGAAAAAGAGCATTTCAAAAAGAGTCAAAGACACCAAAGATGTGGTTCACCTGGTCTGGTTCTGGTAACACCAAGATTCAAAATGTAGACGTGAAACTAAAGCAGAGACGTCACTTCCTGTGAAGATACCGTGTGGACGCTCACTGCTCAAGGTCCTGGTGCTGCTCAATGATCCAGGTAGATACATCTAGTCAGGTTCTCTGAACGGGTTTTTCATCCAGAGAAGAACCCGTTCAGAGAACCTGACTTGACTTTGTTAGATTACTGCTGAATGTTTTCTGCTGAAGAAGTTTCCTCACAGAACTGGTAATGTGAGGTCAGTTTGAACAGCCGAAATGTGATGAAAAGCAGGAAAATAAAAGCTGAAAGCAACAGGAAAACTGCAGAAATTTGTAGAAACAGCTGAAATTGGCTTCATAGATTACAAAATATCTGGAATTAGCTCAAAAAGTTGCAGTAAAAGCAAAATAATAAAAATAAAGCTGAAATGAGCAGAAGAATGTTTTAAACATCTCAAAGTGTTTGAAGGATGAAGAGCTCCATTCAATGAGACAAACATGGCCGAAACAGCAAAAAATTTCACAAAGTAGAAACTGCACAAATTTCAAAAATCAATTCCATCCACCCATTATCTTTACCCACTTCTTCCTTTTTCGGGTCACGGGGGTCACTGGTGCCCATATCCAGATATCACAGTGTGAGAGGCAGGGGGCACTTTGGACAGGTCTCCAGTCCATCATAGGGACACCTGGACAGATCTCCAGTCCATCGCAGAGACACCTGGACAGGTCTCCAGTCCATCACAGGGACACCTGGACAGGTCTCCAGTCCATCGCAGAGACACCTGGACAGGTCTCCAGTCCATCACAGGGACACCTGACAAAAAGACAGACAGATAAAACAAATCAACACACAAACAAAGGCAGTAACATGATTGGTCCTCGCTGATAATAAGTTTGTGGAGTGAAGTGAGTGGAACCCTCTGCCTCAGTCAGTGTAAAGCTGTTTGTTGATGACACTGTCCTGTGTGTTTTACAGCCATGTGTGGTTCAGACTCCACAGGGCCATGAGTACGGGGGCCGCAGCTACAACGGAAAAGGGGTAAGCGTTGTCTTGGTAACTTCCAGCTCATGGTTTCCTCTGGGTTTCTAACGCCACTCTGCTGCTCCGTTTCCACAGATCACTGGCGTGTCCATTCTGAGGGCCGGGGAGACCATGGAGCCCGCCCTGAGGGCTGTGTGCAAAGATGTCCGCATTGGCAAGATCCTGATCCAGACCAACCTGGACTCAGGAGAACCTGAGGTAGAAACAGGACAGTTCTTTAAAACCTTACCACTTCCAACAATAACAAGCATGTTCATTTCAAATTTTCTTCCATGTGATGCTCATCTCCATGGTAACTACCTGTCTTGTTCTTGTAACCATGGCAACCGGTCTCCTCTGCTCTGCCTGGCAAGTTGCATTACCTGCGTCTGCCCAGAGACATCAGTGAAGATCATGTCATCCTGATGGACAGCACCGTCTCCACCGGCGCCGCTGCCATGATGGCCATACGTGTCCTGCTGGTGGGTGGAGCCTAACATGCATCATCCTCAGGCCGTGGTTACAACTCCAGTTCCACCACGTGTCTTCTCTTTCTGACGACTTTTAGTAACATTGTTTCTGAAAAAAATTTATTAATAAAGACCAAGTTTTGTGTGTGTGTGTGTGCGTGCATGCGTGCGCGCGCGCGTGCGTGCGCGCGCGTGCGTGCGTGCGTGCGTGCGTGCGTGTGTGTGTGTGTATGTGTGCGTGCGTGCGTGCGTGCGTGTGTGTGTGAGAGCAGGATCACGAGGTGCAGGAAGACAACATTATGTTGGTGTCTCTGCTGATGGCTGAACTCGGGGTGCACTCTGTGGCCTACGCCTTCCCAAAGGTCCAAATCATTACGACCGCTGTGGACAAGAGCCTGGACGACTTCTTCCATGCAGTTCCTGGTATTGGTAAGAGGTCACTTTGTTTTCTTCTGTATCTGTCACGTTATTCAGTTAGAACTAAAACTGTTTGTAAAAACATGATGAGGTGATGGACATGCAGACACCATGTGGCGTTCTGATCACTTTTATTTACCTGCACAAATCAGGACAAGCACTTACAAACCAGGGGCCTCATGTACAAAGACCTGCGTGGATATTGTACTGAAACACGGTGTACAATTAAATCAAGAAACTGTGTACGGACAAATAAATCCAGATGTATAAAACTGTGCGTACGCTTGGATCCAACACACTTCCAGTGTACGTCCCAATCAACATGAAATTGAGCGCACATGAGGGAATACCTGACTCCTCCCTCGATACACCTCTATTTAAATATGTAAATAGTGTGTGCCCTGCACCTGAAGAACCTGCTCTCTGCACCATCTTAAAGAATGACTACACGCAGGAAAAAGAAGAGCATCACGGTACGTGTTGGAGACGCTTCTAAAGCTTCAAGCCAAACTTCAACAAATCAAATTTTCCCTACAAGTCAATCCACAGTAAACCCACATTCTCATTTTCAATGTTCTCTGTTAGTGAGATTAATAAACTGCTAACAGAATTGGATTCTAGAAAATCTGCAGGTCCTGATGACCATCCTCCTTATTCATCCATCCATCCATCCATTTTCTTCCGCTTATCCGGGGTCGGGTCGCGGGGGTAGCAGCCTAAGTAGGGAGGCCCAGACTTCCCTCTCCCCAGCCACTTGGGCCAGCTCTTCCGGGGGAATCCCGAGGCGTTCCCAGGCCAGCCGAGAAACATAGTCCCTCCAGCGTGTCCTGGGTCTTCCTCTGGGCCTCCTTCCGGTGGGACGTGTCCGGAACACCTCACCAGGGAGGCGTCCAGGAGGCATCCTAAACAGATGCCCAAGCCACCTCAACTGGCTCCTCTCGACGTGGAGAAGCAGCGGCTCTACTCCGAGTACCTCCCGGAAGATCGAGCTTCTCACCCTGTCTCTAAGGGAGAGCCCAGACACCCTGCGGAGAAAACTCATTTCGGCCGCTGGTATCCGAGATCTCATTCTTTCGGTCACAACCCAAAGCTCGTGACCATAGATGAGGGTGGGAACGTAGATCGATCGGTAAATTGAGAGCTTCGCCTTTTGACTCAGCTCTCTCTTCACCACGACAGACCTGTACAGCGCCCGTTTCACTGCAGACGCTGCGCCTATCTGCCTATTGATCTCATGCTCCATTTTTCCCTCATTCGTGAACAAGACCCCAAGATACTTGAACTCCTCCACATGGGGTAGGACCTCCTTCCTGACCCGGAGAGGGCACTCTACCCTTTTCCGGCTCAAGACCATGGCCTCGGATTTGGAGGAACTGATCCTCCTTATTCATTCAACCTTTATTTATACAGGTTAGCGTCATTGAGCCCCGAGGCCTCATTTTCAAGAGAGACCTGTTCCAGACAGAACATATAAAGTACAGACAATAAAACAGTAAACAATGACAACAATAAACTACAGGAAAAATGCAGTTAAAATAAGAGTAGTGTATAAAACAATATATCATGGTGCTGTAAAACAGGGTGAAATACTGAAAACAAGAACATATGTGCTTTGATTTTTCTATTCACATTATCAAATGTTTGAAACCCCTTAAAGAATTATTTCTTAAGGCTAGCTGCAAAAATCATTGCAGAACTGGTCTCACATCTTTAATCTGTACATAAGTCAAAACTCTGTTCCAAACGCTTGGAAAACAGCTTTTGCTCTACCTTTACTGAAGGGAGGAGACCCCACCATTATTGTCAACTATAAATGTCTAAGGTTCTCTAAAGCTTTAGAAAATTGATAAATACTCAAGTCAAGAAGTATTTGGATTCCAATAATGTCAGGTCATCTGGACGCTTTCTTTTTTTTTTTTTTTTTGTGCTGAGATGTTTCGCCCTCCATCCAGAAGGCTTCATCATTCTGAGGAAACACCAAACAAAACTGCCTCTACCGCAACAGCTTACTCCAAAGTGGAATAAACCAGTTATGTTGGTGCTAAGATGGCACCAATTTATGACTTTGGATTCTTTTAACATCTTACCTCTCCATCAATCTGGTTTCAGGAAACAACACAGCCCGACTGCTTCGTTGAAGGTTTTTAATGACGTTGTTGAAGCACTGGATGCTAAGGATTATTGTGCTGCACTTTTCTTAGACCTGTCTAAAGCTTTTGACACTGTGGATCATAACATCTTGTGCCATAAGCTCTCAGAAATTGTTTTTTCAGATCACACCATTGGTTCATTCTCTAATTATCTCTCAGATCGAAGACAATGTGTTCAACATAATGGTACTTCTTCCAGTTATTTAACTGTCAGCAATAGTGTACCACACGGCTCAGTCTTAGGACCCACCCTCTTTACAATCTACATAAGTAGGTCAGATCATTCCTGATACATCCTTACATTTCTATGCCTACGGCACAGCTGTTTATTGTCAAGCTAAAACATTTGCTAAGGTTTTTCAGATATTACAGTCTGCTTTCGACATCATCCAGTCAAATTTGTTCCGTCTCAAACTGGTGCTAAATGATGATAAAAACCAAAGGGATGTTTTCAAACAAGAAGTTGATACCAGCAGTTGTTACTTCTATCTTATCTACGAATGGTGTTCCCATTGAGTTTTTGTCGATTCTTTCAAATATTTGGGTATCTTGGTTGATGCACATCTCTCTTGTAAGCCTCACGTTGAAAACTTGATAAAGAAATTGAAAGTAGAACTGGGTTTCTTTTTCAGAAATAGATCCTGTTTAACTCTGAATGCTAGGAAACACCTTGTAACAGCAACTTTGCTTCCCTCCATTGACAACGGTGTCATTACCTATATGAATGCTCCTACAAGCTCCCTGCAGATGTTGGATGCTGTCTATCATGGTGCATTAAGATTCATAACTAGCTGTAACTACTGTACCCACCACTGCACCCTGTATTCACTGGTTAACTGGACATCATTAACTTCACACAGACTCTCTCACTGGTACATTTTCATCTTTAAATCACTTCTGGCTTCATACATTTCCTCCTACATGTCTCTGCGTGAGTGCAGTTACAGCGTGCTCTCCCAAGACGACATTACCTTCAGTGTCCCCTCAGTGCAAACTGAATTCAACAAAAAGGGACTTCTCTTACTCTGCACCTGTTTCCTGGAACACCTTACAAAAGATCTGAAACTGTCGACTTTGATCTCTCTAAGGGGTTTTAAACAGTTGATAAGTTCAATGCAACAATCGATGCAGACATGTTCCTGTTTTTAGTATTTTACCCCGTTCCATAATGTAGCTTGCTTTTATTTTATTTTATATCACTACTTTTGTTTACTTTTCATTTTATATGCTTTTTATAACTGTTTATTGTTGTGTGTATCTCATCTTTTTTGTTTGTTTGTTTAAAACAAGTCTCTTGAAAATGAGTCCTTGTGACTCAATGAGACTAACCTGTATGAATAAAGGTTGAAGGAAAATAGTTGGACAAATCCAGAAACCATCACATTGTCATCCCAAGGTGAGCAGAGTTTACGAGTCACAAAAGTCATCATATAGTGATGATTTTCATTACATAGATGAGCTTGTTGATGTTCAGATGTCCACTATTTGTTTTTGTCTCCTGTTGCAGAGCGAAAAGGAGAAAGGTTGGAAATCCCCTCCAGCTTGTCTGTCCGTGCACGCTGTGGGCATCAAAACTTAAAAAATAAGTGAGGTGCCAACTTCCTGTTCGGTGTGTGGTTGCATCTAGGCATAAAAAAGTTTCCTTTGAAAATTGGGTTGACACATCAAAATCCAAGATGATGCCGCCATAAATATATGTAAACCAGTCACCCCTATCATTTCAGGAAACTATGATTTCCATTTTTATAGTTTTCTCAAATGATTGAGCTGGCCCTTGTGGTTACCGAAGATGAATCTTTATGGTGGCCAAGGCCACCATTGACCACCCCCAAGCTCCGCCATGACACCTGGTGGTGGATAAATTTCATCCACTTGCCAGGATCCGTCACTCTGCGCAGTCACCAAAGAAAAAAAGAGTTCTTCTCCACAGGGTAACTCCTCCCCACTTGAATATCAAAAACATTTAGGTTTACTTCATTCCGTGTTCAGTTCTGAGTCCAGAAAAACACTCATCTCAAGAATTAAACTCTGTATTTTTGTTTGCTTTTTACCATTTTCTTTTCTTTGCTATGTTCCTCTAGTTGATGTTTGATGTCTTCCTGCTGGACTCTGGGGTGCATTCACACCAGCCCTGTTTACTCCGCTTTAATCGAACTCTAGCTTGTTTTCCTAGGATGTCCAGTTCGTTTGGGGAGGTCTGAACGCATCATCGAACTCTGTCACGGAACAAAAAGGCGAACTCTGGCCCGGGCTAAAACCTAGGTCTCGGTCCGGTAGAAGAGAACTCCAGCGCGGTTCGAGTACAGTGTGAAACTAATCTGAGTCCACTGTTGTGTTTTTTTCAGGGGACTTTGGCGACCGGTACTTCGGTACAGACGGGTCTGACAGCTGGAGTGACGGCGAGGACCAGGAGCAGCCATTGTCCTGAGTTCAAAAACAGAAACTAAACCAAACTGGTTGTTGCACATCCTCCTCTTCAGGTAAAGACTAGGAAGACTTCCTGTTCTCTAACAGACTTCATGAAGCTGACCAGTCGCTTTTTTTAGGATTTTCATACAGAAAGATCAAAGGTGCAGAACTGTACAGATACCTTCCAGGAACAATAATGCAACAAACTTACATATTAAATAATCTCGCCCAGTGGATGCTCAGCTGCTCTTTTTCAGACATTTATTTTATGCACTTTAACTCTAATGTGAGCGTCCGTCTGCAGCTCAAGCAGACTTGTCACTTTCATCATGTTCATTATCTCAGTTAGGCACTCGACACAAAGCAACAGTTCAGAACAAACAGTATCTTACCTGTTGTAGGAGGGCCTATGAATGATCTCAGTCTGAAAGAACAGAGAAAAGATATGAACTATCCTTTTAAAGATCTTCTCATTGGGACATCTGAAGATCATGGGAGCTGTAAAGACACTTTTTTAAAATGAAAATTAGTGAATAATTAATAGTAATGAAACTCCTTTTCGCATAGTTCAGTCATGGGAAAGTAAACAAAGTTATTTTAAAGTCTGTTCTAAACTAGCTGCTCCACCTGTTCATTTGACAATTTATTTTAAAATCTGTTCTAAATGACTGCTCCACCTGTTCATTTTAAAAATTATTTTAAAGTCTGTTCTAAACGAGCTGCTCCACCTGTTCATTTTTAAAGT